CTCCACACACTAAACACGTTAATGTCCTTTTGTTGTGATAATAAAGGTTTCAGTCTGTCCCTGTCCTCCTGTCCTTCTTTAAACAGACTTCTACAGTTCTGTGGTCCAGGATTAGCTTAGCTTAGCACAAAGACTGGAAGCAGGGGGAAACTGCTAGCCTTGTTTGGTTTTCTGTTGGCTTCTGTTAAAGAACCTGTTTGAATCTGAGGGCTCCTGCCTGAAGGCCAGAGAGCGGCTCTGTCCTGCTTCATTACTACACTTTAAACAGATCAGACACAGTCATCTGGTGGAAACAAACTCCAGTCGCTGTCGCCAGTGATGCATAAACTCGTATGCAACTACGCCGTAGGCTACGCACGTAGCCATGCATTTATACCTGTGCGTCGGTGTCCCCGTCATTCTGCTATTACACCCCCAAACACTCATCGGCAGTAGCGCTACAGCGTCCACTGGGTTGACTTTTGCCGGTCGAGCAGGCTAACTTCCGGTTTAGCCCTTCGCTAACGTAAATGGGGGTAAAATTGTCTACGTGCGGCTGGTTTAGCCTTTTCAAATGTTACTGAGCGAATGGATCACATTCCAATAGTGAAACGAGTCATTTCGTTTGGGTTGTGACGGGTCAAATATATTGATCCCCCTTGTTATAGTCGTCGTTTTGACCGCTAGTAAGTTACTTTAAAGCACGGGGTACTTCTCGTCGGCTCAAAAGCATTGCGAGGCAAGCTACATTTTTGGAGGTGCCCCTGTTGTTTTTATTTAATTATTTGAGAGAGTAGTTTTTTTTGTTTTAAATATATCCAGAGTCTGTACTGTACAGCCTGATGTGAGAGCTGTTTCACAAAAGCAGAATTTAGAAATCCAGGTTCCTTGCAACGTAGGCTTAACGCACCAGGTATGTTTACTTCTGTTTGGCGGTTGTGTCACAGGTGTTGCCCAATCAGCTGCGGCAAGTTTGTGTAAACAACGGCAGGAAAATAAAGTGTGCTTGTGTACACAACGGTGTGTTTCGAGGCACCACGGTTTCCGTTGAAAAAGCGACAATGTCGAGCCAGGTAAATCAGATGAATTCCTGTCAACAGCTTTCTTCAAGAGACAACCCGGTTGTTCACAGATTTACTGATGCTGAAATGGAAAAGAATAAACTTTAAACACAGTGAGAAACCACAAATAAAGGTTTAAATAAATAAATAATAAAGAGGATTTTAAAAAAAGAAACATGGCCGCTACAGCTAATAAAACGGTAAAGAGGTGAAACAGCCCTCAGGAGACTAAAACTAACCTCCCAGCTCTAACACAAAACAAAGGGTTTGGTTTGCTGCTGTCAGACCGCTGGAAACCTGATATTTTAAAGACCAGATGTTTTGAATGAACCAATCAGCAGCAGCCACTCCCAGGCTGTACTGTGAATCCAGCCAATCATAAAGAGACACCTTTAGGACACGCAGAGATCCTCTCAGGCACAGAGCACCCACTCCAACACAAACACAGGTTAGGAAAATATCGTTTTGCAAGACGAAAAGGAAAATATTCTTACATGAGATCCATTGTCTCTCTGCGCTATTTTATTATTTAATACTTCTTAATTTTTCTTAATTTCTCAATTACATGATCTGAAATGAAACAAAAATAAATTTCTTTCCAGATACTCTTCACATTACCTGACTTCCTCCTTCCCTTACTGTAAATGTTACAAAACTGTTCAAATTGAAAGTAAAGTTTTCTCAGAGGTCAGCAGATTATCAGGAGGAGGAAAGGGACAGCTGGCTGTGAACTCATGTCCTCACTGTGTTTCTGAAGACTTCCTTTAGTGAGAAGCAGATTAACTTTGTGCTTGTTGGAGTTTCTACAGGAAGATGAAGATGTTTGTGGTGTTTGTGATCCTCGTGCACGGTAAGATAACCTTCCTCCCTCTGATCTGATCATCACCTTTTAATCTGGGTTTCTGTCATCTTAACTAGGCTGTCACCAATAAAGTGAAATACTGACCAAGCGAACCGCAGAGGATGGCTAACAACACGCAATGTTCATACTTTCTTGCTTGACACTTTAACACGCGTGTTACGTGAGTAAATTAGTGCTTCAAAAATTCCAATTAATTAATATTAAGTTAATATTGATTATTGTGAAATTATTCAAATGAATGCAGTTTCATGTGATCTGATTTGAAGTGACTTCATGAGGAAGAAGAAATGCAGTTTAAATCCTTTTTATTTCTTTATTGTTTCATGATTGTACTGATGAAAAGTTGGACAGACTTCAGTGTTTAATGACATAAATCTCTGTCAGCTGTTTGTGTCTCTGACATTAAAATGTTTTCTTGAACAGAAAAGGCTTGTGTTTCCTGACGGCTTCAGTCATTTAGAGATTGATAAAGAAGTTTAGTTCTTGTGCAGATAATCAACAGGACTGAAGGTTCAGCTTTCTGTCTGTCAGTCTGAGACAGAAACTGGACCAACAGCTCTGACAAACATGAGGAAGCTGAAGCTCCTCCTCTTTCCTCAGAAGAGATCTGTGGTGATCTGGACTCATTCCAGAGAGCTGCTTTAACAAAGTCTGAACCTGAACTCTGAGAAATTTTCATACAAGATCATATTTGCAATGAGGAAACACTAGAGGCAGAGTAAGGTACTGAAAGAAAAAGAAAATAAAGATGAAGAATAACATACAGTAATAAAATAAACAACTACAATAAAGAGCATTACAAATATGAGAACAAGAGAATAAAATACAATAAAACAATGTATCAGTAAAACTAAAAAACTTAAATGAAGCCTGGGTAAACAGGTAGGTCTTTTGTTTGCTTTTAAAAATATCTCTGCTGCCCTCTGGAAGGCCGTTACAAAGACTTTGGTCATATTAAATAAAAGGACACCTCAACATCACTTTTCATCACGGGGACTTGGAGAGATAATTAACAGGCCTCTACCAGAGGACCTAAGGGTTCTGAAGGCTCATAAGCTAAAAGCAGATCTGATACACACTCACTCGCCACTTTATTAGGTACACCTGTTTAATTGCTAGTTAACACAAATAGCTAATCAGCCATTCACATGGCAGCAACTCAGTGTATTTAGGCATGTAGACGTGGTCAAACAGAGCATCATAATGGGGAAGAAAGGGGATTTAAGTGACTTTGAACGTGGCATGTTGTTGTGCCAGACTATGGAAGATTTTAGTGGACTTTAATGTTTGTAACCCACAGAAAACAATCACAAATGTATTCTACATAGGGCTGAAACAATTAATCGATTAAATAGATAAAATAGATAAATAAAATGCGACACAAATTCTTTGCATCGATGCTTCGTTTAATCCATGTAACTATACAGCACAGTGTTTCGCAGGAACATTTATTACTGTCGCACATCGCGCTTACGCTGTGAACACGACATGATTATAATGGAGCTGTTTGCAAAGTGGAGGAAGAGAGAGAAATAAGGGGACAAAGAAGAAGTGTCCAAAGTATGGGATTATTTCAAGCTAAAGAAAACAACAACACTGTAATGTTACAGTCCGTCCACCGTAAAACGAAACTTATGTCGCCTTGGCAACAGCATGACGCACCTGACCAGAAAGCAGTCGGTGTTCTGCCAGCGGACCACAACAAGGTAACAGTAACTTTCAGTTAACTAGCATTTAACTGAAATCATGATTGTTGAGTTGAAGCCAAAGTAAGCTGCAGTCCTCAGCTGAAAATGTGACCACGTGCGTTTGTTGTTCTCCTTTTTGGGCCGTGAGTTGTGACCTCAGGAGTCAGGAGTTAACTGCGTGTTGGGGAGCTGCACCTTTAACTCACCTCCAGCTCTCTCTGTTGCTCTGACGATCCCTGCTACCTGCGTGTGCTAATCCATCCTTTCATCCAGATTCTTTGTCTCTATAATTGGTGGTTTATAATAACAAACAACGGCTGTTTCGTGTGTAGGATCGCTCTTTTCCCGTTTGATATTTCACGTGTTTTCTTGACAAAATGTGGTTTGGAGACCAGTCGGGTGACACAGCTGTCAGCTCTTGTAGTGTGTGTGTGTGTGTGTGTGACCCCCTGTCACTGAACACCACAAGACTTCAAAAATGCTGTCAAGTTGTGCGAATGGCACGGCCATCAGCCGACGCTGAAAGTCGTGTAGTCTGCACGAGCCTTTAATATAACTTGTACTCTGGCTCCTTTTTTTCCTTGCATCTCTGTAAAACAGACTGGTTTGTTGGTAGTCACGGTGGAACCGCTTGAGTGTGTCAAGATGTTTGATCAGATGTTTGACAGTTTGATGGCAGGTAAGCTGCTCCTTTTCCTCAGTCTTTTCCGTTTTCCTTCTCTAGACAGTAGCTGTTTCTCAGTCTGCGTTCTTGTCTGTACTTGTGGACTTGTCAAAGATCATCAGTCGCAGCCCAAGTACTGTCCAATTCAAAGTGGCATCTAGCCAAGTACATTACATTTACTCATTTTAGCAGATGCTTTTATCCAAAGTGACTTACAATCTAGGAACAACTGACAAAAATACTAGTAAGAGCTCATAGCACATATCACATCAATTGGGTAAATACCTAGAGAAAGAAGTAAGATTTTAAAAAAATTTCAATCAATACAAAATCATTTTGAAGGGATAGAGGAAGAAGAGCATACAGTGCTTTGCGAAAGTATTCGTCCCCTTGAACTTTGACCTTTTGCCACATTTCAGGCTTCAAACATAAAGATATAAAACTGTAATTTTTTGTGAAGAATCAACAACAAGTGGGACACAATTATGAAGTGGAATGAAATTTATTGGATATTTCAAACTTTTTTAACAAATAAAAAACTGAAAAATTTGGCGTGCAAAATTATTCAGCCCCCTTAAGTTAATACTTTATAGCGCCACCTTTTGTTGCGATTACAGCTGTAAGTCGCTTGAAGTACGTCTCTATCAGTTTTGCACATCGAGAGACTGAAATTTTTGCCCATTCCTCCTTGCAAAACAGCTCGAGCTCAGTGAGGTTGGATGGAGAGCGTTTGTGAACAGCAGTTTTCAGTTCTTTCCACAGATTCTGGATTGGATTCAGGTCTGGACTTTGACTTGGCCATTCTAACACCTGGATATGTTTATTTGTGAACCATTCCAGTGTAGATTTTGCTTTATGTTCTGGATCTCGTCCCAGTCTCAGGTCTTTTGCAGACTCCATCAGGTTTTCTTCCAGAATGGTCCTGTATTTGGCTCCATCCATCTTCCCATCAATTTTAGCCATCTTCCCTGTCCCTGCTGAAGAAAAGCAGGACCAGACCACTTCTGGAGAGAGTTTGCTGCACTGAAAGTAAAGGGGCTGAATAATTTTGCACGCCCAATTTTTCAGTTTTTTATTTGTTAAAAAGGTTTGAAATATCCAATAAATTTTGTTCCACTTCATAATTGTGTCCCACTTGTTGTTGATTCTTCACAAAAAATTACAGTTTTATATCTTTATGTTTGAAGCCTGAAATGTGGCAAAAGGTCGAAAAGTTCAAGGGGGCCGAATACTTTCGCAAGGCACTGTAGTTAGGAGGTTAGGAGTTAGAGGTGTTATAAGAAGAAGTGTTCTCGGAAGAGATGAGTTTTCAAGAGCTTCTTGAAATTAGAGAAGGACGCCCCTGCTCTGATGGCGTGTGGTAGCTCGTTCCACCATCGTGGTGTCACAGATAAGAACAGCCGGGACTGGGATTGCTTTGTGTGAAGCAATGGCACAGCCAGGCGGCGTTCGTTGGACAAGCATAGTGGCCAAGAAGGAACGTAAACTTTTATTATGGAGTTTAGGTAGTCAGTAAGTCACTCTGTATACAAGCATTAGTGACTTGAATCTGATTCTGGAGGCCATAGGGAGTCAGTGGAGGTCACTGAGTAATGGAGTGACATGAGTCCTTTTGGGCTGATCAAAAACCAGATGCTGCATTCTGAACCATTTGTAGGGGTTTCACTGCACAAGCTGGAAGTGGAATGTAATCAAGGCTAGTGATAACCATGGCCTGTACCAGAAGCTGGTGGTATACTTAGTGAGGTAGGGCCTTATTTTTCTGATGTTGTATAGAGCAAAGCGGCACGGTTGAGAGACAGCAGCAACATGGTCTGAAATGGACACCCAAGTTTCTCACCACCCTGGTTGGAGTGATGGTTGAGGAGTCAATTTGTAGTTTAATGTTATGGTGGATAAATTGCTTGGCTGAAATGACCAAGAGTTCAGTCTTATAGAGGTTTAGCTGAAGGTGGCAAGCCTTCATCCATGCACATATGTCTGAGAGACAGTCCGTGATCTACGCCGAGACTGTGGAGTCGTCTGGCGGGAAGGATAGGTAGAGCTGCGTATCATCTGCGTAGCAGTGATAAAAGAAGCCGTGCGAGTGAATGATTGGCCCCAGTGAGGTGGTGTAAATTGAGAAGAGAAGGGGCCCTAGCACTGAGCCTTGGGGCACCCCTGTGGAGAGGCAGTGGGAGGAGGATAATTGTCCTTGCCTCAAAACATTGTAGGAACGCCCCGAGATGTTGGATTCAAACCACAGGAGTACTTTACTCGAGATGTCCATTGATGAGAGTGCAGATAGCAGGATCCTGTGATTGACGGTATGAAAGGCAGCTGATGGGTCAAGCAGGATAAGAACTGAGGATTGGGCTGTAGCTTAAGCTGACCTTAGGGCTTCTGTTACAGACAAAAGAACTGTTTCAGTAGAGTGGGCACTCTTAAAACCAGACTGATATGGATCTAGGAGGTCCTTCCATGAAAGGAATTTTGAGACCTGTATGAAGACTGCCCGTTCGATAGTTTTGGATAAAAATGGTAGAAGAGAAACTGGCCGATAGTTCTCAACTTGAGTTGGGTCGAGTGAGGGCTTTTTAAGCAAGGGTGTAACGAGAGCCCTTTTGAAAGTGGTTGGGAAAGTTCCTGAAGCCAGACAAGTATTTATCACATGAGTGATTGCCGGTTAGATATGGCTTGGAGGAGATTCGAAGGAATCGGGTCCAGTGGGCATGTAGTTGGACGGCTATGGGTCAGGAGTTCTGATACTTCGCTCTCCGTGAGAAGAGTAAACGAGGATAGTAAAGTGCCAGAGGAAAAGATGTATAGGACTGCTACATGTTAGCCTTGGGTTGAGCCTTTTGCACCATTTCCCGTTTTCCGGTGCCCTGTTCACACAGTGGGTGCTGACCAGGCCAGGAATAGAATGGTTGATTTTGAGTGATTTAGAGAATTGGCTTGTTATAGCCATCACAAAGGTATCAGCAGACAAGTCTGTGGGTGGTGGAGGTGGAGGAGGATTTAGTAGTGCTTTGAAAGTGGAAAATAATTTCCTTGAGTCAATGGCACTGCTAATTCTGTCATTATAGAATGACATGGTTCTAGGTCACACAGGTAGACTCGTTGGTCTTTACCCAAGTAGACTCGCGCAGGTAGACTCGCAGGTCTTCACCCAAGTAGGTCTTCACACAGGGAGCCGACGCTTATGCTAATGCTTCAGTTTATAGGTTTCATAGAAGTAGTATGAGTCTAATTGCATACAGGTGTTGTGCATTAAGACTGATTGCACCCAGCTGAGATCGCCCTCCAAATTACAAAGACAAAAGGTTGGTTTCAGAAGGAGGGACAACACACCCAGTTGTTTGAGCTCGCTCAGCCAGATTCTAGTGGAATGCTCAGTGAAGTGCAAAGTGATAGCACATCAAGAGTAAGAAAATAGAGTAAAATATTAACTCACTGCTGCAAACTTACTTGCCCAACAATTCAGTCAAATATCTGGATGTGTTCTTGCTCTGCCCGTTATACCGAGCCTGCATTGGGTGGTGACTTGTGTGGACTTCGGATAGCCAAGTATCCCAGAATGCATTTTGCACTAACAAGCAGAAATGGTTGAGGAGAAGTCTAGCAACTGTAAGTTACAATACTGCTGTTATTCTGTCACAGAGTGCAGTATTTTTTATGCGGTAATATAGTTGTTTAAACTCCAAATGTGTGGTTGATTTCTAAAGACAGAGCTGATTTGAAAATTTGCTACAAACTTTTCGGAGATGTGAGGTCCTGCCCACTAACGGGTCCGGCTGTCTTTCCAATTACTGGATGACGGACTGCGTGCTCCCGTTTCTGGAAGTTTGTACTCCCAAGCCGGACTTGCCAAGTCCCATTTTTGAAGTACAGGAGTCCAAACTTGGTAAATTCTGTATTGAGAAACAGACCCTCTTTTCCTTCACTTCACTATCCACTTCCGCCTGTGTTCTCAAAGGAAATCCAGAGGTATTTGATAAGTCAGGAGGGAAACCTGGCAAATGGTTGTTCCAGTCATAACAGAGTCTGTTTACGTGACCTTAAAATTCCAACATGAGCTAGAGGCATACTAGCTGGAACAGTGTTGACATTAGCATCTCAACAAAACATGAAAACGTGATAAAATGCCAGAAAACGCTGGATACAACGTGTCCCTGGGCAAGACATTGAACTCGTAGTTGCTCCAGAGGCCAAATGTATTGGGACACCCCTTCGAATCACTGAATTCCGGTGTTCCAATCACTTCTATGTCCAAAGGTGTGTAAAATCAAGCATGTAGTCATCCTGACAAACATTTGTAAAAGAATGGGTCGCTCTCAGGAGCTTAGTGAATTCAAGTGTTGTACGGTGATAGGTTACCAACTGTGCAAGTCCATTCGTGAAATTTCCTCACTACTAAATATTCCACGGTAATCTGTTAGTGGTATTATAACAAAGTGGAAGTGATGGGAACAACTGAAACTCTGCCACAAGTGGTAGGCCTCATAAAATCACACAGCAGGGTCAGCGGATGCTGAGGCACACCAACCCAAAAAGTCCCTAACTTTCTGCGGAGTCAGCAGCTACAGACCTCCAAATGTTGTGTGGCCTTCATGGGGGATTATGATGTGGGGTTTTGTCTCGGGTTGGGCTAGGCCCTTTAATTCCAGTGAAAGGAATTGTTAATGCTCCAACATACCAAGACATTTGGACAATTTCATGCTCCCAACTATATGCTATGCTATTGCAATTTTAAGTCTTTTTTTATAAAAGCGTCAGCTGAATGACTAATCATCATAATACAACAGTGTGACTATGCCTTTGGTGTGAGAGACCCGGGTTCAATCCCCCATTGTGACACATCCACCATTGTGTCCCTGAGCAAGACACTTAACCCCTAATTGCTCTAGAGGCGTGCGACCTCTGACATGTATAGCAATTGTAAGTAGCTTTGGATAAAAGCGTCAGCTAAATGAATAAATGTAAGGTAATTTAATTTGTATTCATGTATCTTGCAAATAGTTAAGAGTTCGTAGAAATTGGTAAAACAGAGAAACAGTAAAAAAATTTTTTGGTTTTGTTACATACACAAGTTGATGATTCCTATTTGTGGATCATGAAGAGTTTGTTTGTGGATTTTGAATATAATTGTAGATTGTAATTTGTGTTTAGCAAATTTTTATATCTATGTGTGACTCTACATTTTCATTGAATTAGATTGACATGGTGGTGGTGACGGCACAGTTTATAAGACACCTTTGTTGTGAGAGACCCGGGTTCAATTCCCACTGTGACCCATCGACCATTGTGTACCTGAGCAAGACGCTTAACCCCTAGTTGCTCCAGAGGCGTGCGACCTCTGAAGTGTGTGAAGTCGCTTTGGGATAAATAAAATTAATAATTGCGAATGTGATTGATTTACCCCCATAGAATAAGACATGAAATATGATTCAACCTCTCTGTCTGTGTGACCTCAAAGTTTCCCACCATGCCTTAGCTGTGGAGCTGTTGAGGGGGAGGAGTTTGTCCTGCTGCCCTGTGGGTATCAGACTTTTGACATGGACAACCCCACAGTGGTGTGGAGCCGCTACGATCTCAATCCTCCAACCGTCCACCAGCGTCAGCAGGAAGGTGATGAACTTAAAGACCAAAACCAGCTTTACAGCGGCCGAACATCCATGATGACTGACGCTCTGGAAACTGGAGACCTCAGCCTCACTCTGACGAAACTCCAGCTCTCTGACACGGCAGTTACACCTGCACCGTCAGAGAGTTAGGAGGACAAAAGAGACAACGGAGAGTGAGAAACATACAGTTGAAGGTCAAAGGTCAGCAACACATTAACACCTGCTGTAGATATAGGTCAGAGGTCAGTGATGCTGTGATTGAACCTCTCTGTCTGTGTGACCTCACAGTTTCCCAGCATGCCTTATCTGTGGAGCTGTATGAGGGGGAGGAGTTTGTCCTGCTGCCCTGTGAGTATCACACCTTTGACCTGAAAGACCCCACAGTGGTGTGGATCCGCTACGATCTCAATCCTCCAACCGTCCACCAGCGTCAGCAGGAAGGTGATGAACTTAAAGACCAAAACCAGCTTTACAGCGGCCGAACATCCATGATGACTGACGCTCTGGAAACTGGAGACCTCAGCCTCAACCTGACAAAACTCCAGCTCTCTGACAGCGGCAGCTACACCTGCACCGTCAGATGGTTAGGACGACAACGGAGAGTGAGAGAGATACAGCTGCAGGTCAAAGGTCAGCAACAAACCCTAACACTGCTGTAGATACAGGTCAGAGGTCAGAGGTCATGTTTTATGTTTCTGGTTCCCACAGAACGATTTCCATCCTGGGCCAAAGTTCTCCTGGTTCTCCTGGTTCTCCTGGTTGTTGGTCTTGTTGCTGGGGGTCTTCTGGTACATTTCCGGCACTATTTCATGTCAGGTATGTCACACTACAGCATATGAAGGTGTAATTGGAGCAGAACAGCTGAACACCTGTGACAGTGGAACCTGTAGATGTAGAAAATAGTCCCACATGTGTTTCAGTGATACTGAAGTCACAAGGAAACAAAAGTTTTCCATTCTCCACAGCCGCTCTTCTCAAGTTCTTAATATTAGGGCTAGCCCGAATTTCATTTTTTGAGCTTCGAAACTTCATAGTAATTAACAGCAAATGGCACAATGAATAAGACTATGACTTCGGTGTGAGAGACCCGGGTTCAATCCCCCACTGTGACCCATCCACAGTTATGTCCCTGAGCAAGACACTTAGGCCCCGTCCACACTACTGTGTTTTCGAATTAAAACGGAGACCTTCTGCTAAGTTTGCACCTCCCGTCCAGACTATAACGACGAAGACCTAAAACGAGAAGTTTGGAAACACTGCCGACCCCGTTTTGCATTTCAAAACTTCAGAGGGTGTTTTAGTGAAGACGGGCCAAAACGGAGGACCATAGAAACGATGACGCGGTTACTCACACTCGGCTCTCTGATTGGGTCTTGCAAAGAAGAAACACGATGCTACTGACCAGGTTTTTGATATCGTATTGTTATTAAAATATTATATCTTGTATACTTGTACACTTGTAATGTGCTTGTTGCCGTTTACTTAGCAACGACCGCCACCACACTCCCTGTTACATTCAGTAACAGTCCCAGCTCGTCATTGGTGCATGCAAAAAAAACAAAAAACACTGGTCTGATGCTTCGTCTGTATTTATTTATTCCTTCGCCAAATCTTCTGTAACTATGGAATAGACTATCTGCTTCATGTTTACACTGGCACGCGCATGCCCAGTGCACCTGAATGGGCCCTAGCTGTGCGTTTTCAGTCATTTTAATGTAGACAAGGATCAACTCCAAAATGCAGCTAAAAAGCTGATGTAAACAGAGATCATATTCGTTTTAATTCTGTTTCAGAGTAGTGTGGGGCATTAAAGTTGCTCCAGAGGCATGCAACCTCTGACATGTATAGCAATTGTAAGTTGCTTTGGATAAACTTAAATGAATAAATGTAATGTAAAGAGCACAATCCAGGAATAGTTTAGTCGGACGGGGGTCCAGGGAGAGAGTGCACGGGATGAGCGTTTTCTACAGTTTAGCTACTTATTAATTTTAAAATGTAGGAAATTTGACTGTTTTGATCTGTAATAAAATTAAGAAATAGTATAATCGCCGGCGTTAATGGAGCCATAAATCCACAAGTCCCTGAGGACAGTAATGTTAGCTGGGAACATGACAAAGTATGTAGAATGTAGACAATGGTATTCAACTTTTTTCTACTCATTAAATGCAGCAACTTCACATTACTGAATCTAAAACCAAACTGAAAGGCAGTCAAAGTTAGAGACCAGAGAACTCAAACTGGAAATGCAGAGAACAAACTATCCCTGATGCAGGAATGTTGTTGCTGCAGAACAGGTGTTCTGTCGATGTGTGCTACCTATTGAGTTGTGCTACTTAGCAGTTCTGCGCATGCACATGACCATTAAGCGTGACCCACTTCCACGCCCATAAATCTGTGTACCCTTACCGTTGAGACAGTGGCTGATCATGAGCAATATCCAATACAATTACAGTTAAGTCTATCTGAATAGGCTACTCCTGAAATCTTAAATAAAGATGTTGTAGTATTTCAACATGCATCTCCTTACAGTACACATGGAGTGAGTAGTGGTGCAATATAAAATGATTCTGTAGTGGGAGCATTATTTGATCGGGGATATTAGTTAATCAGAATACGCTGCCCTTGAAAACAGATGTTGTCGTCATACTGGGAGTTGGCCTGTACTGTGTGTTATACCTTTATGGGATTGGATATGGGAACACAGCATTTTTCGGTAGGGCAGCATATATCGTCACAACACGCGCGTCTTCTAGTTAACCTTCATGTTTCTTCCAAGAAGGAAAGCTGAAAGTCTCCAGTTTCCTCCCTGAACGTTTTTTAGAATCATGACAGAAAATCAAAACACAGCCTCCAGCTCATACAGAAATACAGCAGGATCGAGCACAATCCTTTCAATATGTATGGTTGTTGTTTGTCTGTCTTTTGTTTTTTAGATTATATTTTCCACTTCAGTTTTATATCGTTTTCCACAATATTCTCCTGACTCCTGGGTTAAAGTTCTGATAAAACATGTGGACAAACAATTACACTTTCTTAATTCATCTATACAGTATATTAATAAGTAAAATCAAAACATACCACAAAAGGTCAATGAATCTTCGCCAGATGTGACAGTGCAACTCAGATACAGAACAATCCTACTCCAAATTGCAGCTGGATCAGCTGGATCCTTGGTGCATCTGGGGAAAAATAAGGAAAGAAAGGACACAAAACGATTTACTGACAAAATTCTTTAGAAAGTAGGTTTTCATTTTTTACCATGTCTAATCAAACTCTATTTAAATGGTCTGTACCTTGCTAGTGCTATCTACCAAATGAAATAGCATGTGCATTGGTTACCTTCTCACAAATCCTGAGTTGTCATCTGTGAGTGAAGAATGATGAACTGGGCGATGCATGACGAGGGGACGATGACTGGAGTTACAGGCTAACCTGGTCCTCTCTGGCTAATGAGTGAACATGACAGTTTGCTCAGTCACTTCACTCAGTGCAGTGTTCATTTACTTCTCATGCCAAGTTTGTTTGAGCTTTACACTTGCTGACAACACTAATTCCATACTAGCAACACACAGTAAAGTCCTGATACTGCATTGAAATAGATGCTAACAGCGATTAGCATCACACTACAGCTTGATGAAACACTACAAAACACACAGAGAGAGCTTTTCACCTTCTACAATATGTCCGTTACCCGGTGGATAAAACTCTTTATGGACATAAGTTACTCTCAGGCTGCTTATGTGTAACGGCTGGCCAGGTCTCTGTCACATGTTATCCTGTGAAGTCACTACAGGGTTTCTTTACATCCCGCCCCTCTACCTTTTCTGATTGGCTGACAAGTTCGTAACAACTAATGCAATTAACAAAATGTCAAGATAGACAGCCATATCCCCTCTGGGGTTAGGTTTTGCACTAACAGCTAAATTATATGTAAAAAAACAAAGAAAAACAATTTGAATTTCAACTAACTTTGTTAACCCAGTGAAAAAAATATTCATTTATCTGCCTAAAGCATCATTTAATCCACTATGCACTGTATTAAACTATGTTAGTTACAGTCCATTTTACATTAGGTTGTTACAGAAAATTACAGGGAAAATATTTACTTACCTGACATCATGAGTTCAATCTGACCAAACAGATCCCGTGTGACCCTTCCTCTTCCATTCTTGTCTTTTGATCTGCATTGACATTACACAACTCAAATTTGATCCTGATAAGAATTTGGCAGGCAGATTATCCAGGTGACAGCCATTACTAACAGTGCGGAGCAGCAGCAACACACCTAAACCAACCAATTCTATATTTTCAAACTTGACCAGCGAGAGGCGCACACAGATGTCGTTGGCCAGTTTCCTGAATGACCAATCATGCTCAAAGCAACATGGTGAAACACTGTTTCAGCATGGCAACTATAAAAGATGACTTGTTTGAAAAGACAGAATATGTTAATTTAAACACACATACACAGAGTACAGTATATACCATATACATTTCCACACTTAAGTTTTTAAGGCCCATTTAAGTATTTCAGTGTAAAAGAACACATATACAATTAATAAGACTTACCTTAAAAAGTTGTAATGAGCTACAAATTTATTTACAGATTCTTATCGTCATTTCTTGCATACATTTGTATGTAATTTTAAAAAAACAGATACAAACTGTATAAATAATTATTTATACAAAGTCATTTTTCCATAACAAAATGAGAAATAAATGTAATAATTTGTCATTATTGATAATTCACGGAAACTAATAGTTGGATTGTTAATTTACAAGGTAGCATCCGTCACTTTACAAAGTTCTGCATGTCATTTTTCAAAAAATTCAAGAAACAAAAAATTTTTATAATAACAAGTTATTTTCCATTAAATTAGGATTTGTTTTACAGTGTAGTTCAAATAAAAGTCTACTGGTGTTCAGCACTTAGATGCTTTTAAGGTGAAGCTACAGCAGCAGGAAATGCTCACTTTGCATTAGCAGCAACTTAATACTGCAGTTTTTCACTCGGTAATACTGCAGATATCTAAATACTGCAGTACTTTGATCAGTGGGTGTTACGACCCAGTTCGTTAAGGTAAGGCAGTAACAAGTGATTTGGGATTGAAATGAAGGTGGTAAAGGACAACTGAATTCTGGTTAAAGTCAGAGGTTTAATTAAACGAGTTGACTCAAGAAAACACAACAAAAAGAGGCTATATAGGTACTGACAACAAAAAGTCTTGTCCAAGGACAGTCACTCTGCTCAAAAAACACTAAAGAACAAAAGGAGGTCAGCACATATATGCTTTACAATAATGCAAAGTAAACAAACAACAATGCTCAAACAAAAGAGCGCCCAACACTTGGTTGTTGTGGGACTCACACAGCTGGGATTTGCATGACAGTCAGAAGCACTCAGCCAGTGGCCAGTGGACCAGTTACCTCATTAGACGATAGATAGTGACTGAACAGACATTTATTTAATGAAAACCTTCAGATTCTAACTTTAATAAAGATTTGATTGAGTCCATCTGACAATAATACTCAGTGATTTAATAAACAGTCAGTTGTGCTGTTGATTGTAGAGACACCAAAGACAACACTGTCTCTGTTAGATGGAACAATGGGACATATTTCAGAGTTCCTGCTGCTGTCTGTACAGCTGATGTTGTGCTTTGTTGTCCTCTCAGTCTACCAGGTGGAGGTGGATTCAGAGGTGGAGTCTGTCCTGCTGCCCTGCAAAACCAGAGTTCACCTGCCTGAAGACGGCACAGTGGAGTGGAGGAACAGATACAACTGGAAGGTCCACGTATATAAGAACGGCTCTGACCAGCCTGAAGAACAGCACATTCGTTACAGAGACCGAACAGAGATGAAGAGAAACCTGCAGAGACCTGGAGACCTCAGTCTGACCCTGAAATACCCCACAGACATAGACAGAGACACCTACACCTGCACCGTCTACAGCAGGGAGGGAGACATCCTGATGAAGAAACAAGTCCTGCTGGAGGTCAAAGGTCAGTGCTGTAGCCTAAATAGTGAGCGTTGCGTCTCCTTCACTCTAGTGAAGAACTTTGTGTGTGGCTGTGACATGAGGTTACTGTCTGTGCAAACACATGAAACACGACACAGTGCAGCTGCTCGGCCCCAGTTACTGGTCAGGGAAGCGAAAACAAAATTGCCTGTTTCAGTCCCCACTGATCAATCTGCACATCTCTAGCTGTAGAAGGTGACTTACAGTCCAACAAGCTGGTAAACAAGCTAGCTGATGTTATAACATCGTGGGCTCGTGGAAAAATGATCAGTTATCAGGATTAATTTCTTAATGACTCAGCATCATCTGTATTAAAGACTAAAGAATGAGTTCATCTGATGTTTAAAGTGAATAAAACAGCCCTGCCAGTCTGCTTAACATTACTGCAGTTTCACAACTACTGAAGGATCAAACTGGTTTTCTGCCACCGGACTCCTGAGAGGGAAAGCAGGCAGAGGACCAAACCACTGTGAGGCAAGAGAGGGGGACTCAAAATGTTTCGAAACTTAAAACACACTTTTACTGCCCTGTGTGTGTTTCTATTGTTTTACTACTTACACAGTTATTCTAAGTACAGTGCAAACGTATTTGATACGCTGCTGATGTTCCTACTTACAAAGCATGTGGAGGTCTGTCATTTTTATCATATTATGTCATGCAATAAAATGCAAATGAATCATTTAAAAATCATACAATGTGATTTTCTGGATTTTTGTTTTAGATTGCGTCTCTCACAGTTGAAGTGTAGCTATGATAAAAATAACAGACCTCTACATGCTTTGGAAGTAGGAAAACCTGCAAAATCAGCAGTGTATCAAATATTGTTCTCCCCACTGTAGATATCATTACATTATTAATGCCAAAACTGTTTCAACAATAACTGACTGGGAAATATTCTGTTTATTAAATGAATGCACGGCATGGATTTACTTAATACACAAGTGTTCATATTAGCAACATGCTACAGGTGGTGAATAATAGGCCTTATCATACAGCTGCATCTGTATCAAGGGAAGCCACCTTAATATTTTATAATGATACATAGGGACCTAGGTTACCCACAGCAGTGAGGGCCAACGCCAGGCTGACAAAATAACATCAGCTAGTCAGCCATTAGGACAGTTAGCCGAAGCTGCAGCTGCATCAGTAAACTATGCTAGCTACATAAACAATGTCAAATAGCTTCTGCTGCGCTGTTGGACTCTGAGCGATCAGCAGCAGCAGGTGACAGTCTCACTTTATGATAGCGGTATGATTATAATATTATCATTAACCTTAACTGGAGCGTAACCCAGTATAAACAGTAGAGTCTAAAAGAGTTCATTAGAAGTTCATCTGAGATTAAAAGTCATTTCATGTTGATGAACAAGGTAAAAACATGGAGATGTATTTTATTAAAAACTGTTATATGTTGTATGATAAATAACTCTAACACGATAATGTTGAGTTAAAAACAGCATTTTTATGTTCAACTGGTAAAACTGTGCTAATTGAGCTGGAGTCTAATAGTGGGCTGTCATTGGTTGGAGGAGTGCATGATGGGAAATCAAGGTCAGGAAAGGAGGAGAGCGGCAGAAGGAGGATGGCGTCTTTGAGCCCGGGAGTGGAAATGTTTGAAAATGTTGAGAGTATGGCGAGTGAACGGGATGGTGAGCGAGGAGAACGGCAGAAGGTAACATGGAAGAGACCAAGAAGGAAGAACTCTGTGTCCAGTCACAGTGAGTCGGAACAACAGAACCAACTGAAAAAAGAGAGGAAAACAAACGGGACGGGAGAGAGGAAAGTGGAGATGGAGTTCAGAGAAGTTTCTGGTAGGAAACTACATCCAGTGAAACTTCCAAAGAGATCGGACACATTAGACAAGCAAGATTTCTGAGTAAAGGGAAGATGTTGATTGAAGCAGTCAGTAGAGTTCAACAGATACTGAAGATGAAGACCTTGAATGAAGTTCAAATTAAAAGTCCCGTTCCTGGGGCTAATCGTAAGGTTAGAGGAGCGATCAGTGGAGTTCCATTAGATATTGCTATTGAAGAAATGAAGAAAGAAATGAAAGGAGACAGAGTCACGGCAGTGAAGCGTCTTCCTACTAGATATCAGGGGAAATTAGTTGATAGTCTGTCCTACTGCAGTTTGAGGGAGACGTGCCTCAGAAAGTAATGATTGGCTGCATGAGCTTTAATGTGAGGGAGTTTGTACCTCAGCCATTACGTTGCTTTAAATGTCAGAGAATCGGACATGTGGCAGATCAGTGTAAATCTAAGGGTGTGCTGGAGAACATGAATATGGCCGCTGCGCAGTAGTCACTAAAACTAAATGTTGTAACTGTGGGGGGAACATAGTGCTGCTTACCAGGGATGAGGAGTTCAAAAAAGAGCAAAAGATATTCAGAGATACAAAATAAAGTATCATACGCTGAAGCAGCAAAACAAGTCTCATTGATAGTGACAGCAGATTCTCAGCAAAGGACTTCCCTAAACTACCACAGACGCAGAACACGAGTGCCATAAAGTGTTCACATAAGTGTGCAGTTAAAGACGATGCTCTGATAGTGGAGAAGTTTCCATTTGTAGCTTTCATAGGTTTGGTAGTGAACGTAGCGCTGCAGCAGACAAAGAAAAGGTCCAGGCTGAGGACTATTGTTGAGGCAGCAAAAGATTATTTGGGGATCACGGAGATGACTGTAGACATGTTACATGAAATGTCAGCACCGAATGACGGAACATCTCAGTTTAGTGACTAAGTTCATAAAGGGTTTCCTTATCCTTCAGTGGAACGCCAGAAGCCTGATTGCAAACGCACAAGAATTTAAGAGAAATGTGCAACAGTTAAATGTAAAGCCTGACGTTATCTGTATTCAAGAAACATTCATAGTTCAGATAATTTGACAGAAGAAGGTAAAATCAGAAGACGGCAAACATTAGCTAGATACCCGGAGGTACTCGAGAACAGAAACTCTAATCAGAGTCCTCTAGATGAGGCCTTTACCGTGCCTGAGCTGAGGAGGGCTCTGAGTAAGAGTAAAAGAACGACACCTGCTAAAGACAATATGAGCTTTACTATGATAGAACATTTAAATGCTTCTGCATTGGGTAAAGTACTGGAGTTATTGAACAAGGTTTGGGAGGAGGGGAAGCTTCCAGTAGGGTGGAAAGAAGCAATTATTATTCAGATTAAGAAACCTGGGAAAGATCCTACAGATCCTGATCATTACAGACCGACAGCTTTAACTTCACATGTGTGTAAAACCATGGAGAAAATGATTCCAGAAAGAATAACATACTACTTAGAAAGAAATGAGCTTCTTTCAGCACTTCAGAGTGGATTTAGAAGGGGGCGTAGTACTCTGGACCCTTTAATATGTTTGGAAACTGATGTTAGGAAAGCTCAAGCTAACAAAGAGGGGGTGCTAGCTGTTTTCTTTGATATAGAGAAGGCGCAGGAGGTCTTTTAATACAGCGAGATAAAATGGGTATTGGAGGTAAAATGTAGAACTGGATCAAAGGTTTCTTATCTGGTAGCTACATTCAGGTTTGTGTGGGGAACTCTACATCAGATACATTTTTAGTTGAAAACGGCAGCGCTCAGGGGAGCGTCATTAGTCCGCTACTGTTTTCAATCATGATCAATGATGTTTATAAGAAGGTTCATCCAGACATTGGGAAATCACTTTCTGCTGATGATGGGCCAATTTGGAAACGAGGGAGGAATCTGGAGTATGTTGTAAAGAAAGTTCAGGAAGCTGTTAGTGTGGTTGAAGATTGGTCTTTGAATTGGAGATTTAAGTTTAATCAAACCATCTTTTTAAAAGAAAGGAAGTCAAAGAAGATATTTGTTTGAAATTGTCCAATAAAGGTCAGAAAGAGTGGAAACCTTTAAATTCCTGCGGTTGTGGTTTGATATATTGCTTACGTGGAAAAATCATTTTGAGGTGGAAGATAAGTGTAAGAAAGTCCTGAATATTATGAGATGTTTAACAGGCAGTGTTTGCTAAGAAATATTTATATTGCATTAGTTAGATCAGTCCTAGAATATGGATGTATTGTTTCTGGATCAGCTGCTAGAACATCTTTAAAAGGTTGGATAAAATTCAGGCCCATCATTGAGGTTATGCTGTGCAGCAGTAAAGTCAACACCAATATCAGCGCTTCAGCTGGAGGTTGGAGAAATGCCACTGATTCTAAGAAGGAAACAGCTGAGGGCCAATTATTGGGCTAATTTACAAAGTCAGAAGGACACACGTGACATTATGTTTGAAATGTTGTTGTCTTTATACAGAGTGAGTAGTCTGGGGGTTGATGTTCAGGTTTTATGGGTCCCAGCACATATTGGCATCCAAGGGAGTGAGATGTCAGACACTTTAGCTAAACATGGGTTGAAAGTAAATCGGTAGAGGTGGCAGTACCAGTTAGCAAAGTAGAGATCAAAGCGAATGTACGGAGCAAAGTTAAGATGCAGAGGCAGAGTTTATGGGATAATGGAAATAAAGGAAGACATTTAGATTGAGCAGAAAGTGGGGAGGAAAAGTCACTGGGGAAGAGCAGGAGAGGACAGAGTTCGACTGGGTCACACAAAGTTCAGTTCATCTCTGCACCTTGTTGGAAAACATCCATCTGGAACTTGTGAGGCCTGCAGTCAACCAGAAACTGTGCAGCATGTGCTGTTTGTGTGCACTAAATACTCAAACCAAAGACTGGCTTTAAGGAACTTGAAGGAATTAAACAAACGGACATTAAAACTATTTTCTCAAATAACTCCTGAAAGATGGTGTTTAAACTAGTGGTGGGCATAGATACATTTTTTAATCTAGATTAATCTCACTGTAATCTTGGAATTAATCTAGATTAATCTAGATTAAAATGGCTCATTTGAATTCTGCCGAAGGCATTCAGAATATGTGTGCTACCCAAATAATGACTGAAAAAAGTAAGTCTTTGAGAACGGGTTTATCAAGCCAGGTGGCGCATTAGACCAGGGGCTCATCTCCTGTTTCCAAAATGCATCACAAACTGCTTGAGAAAACCATTGGGAAGCTTCTTAAAAATAAATTTTCCTTGAAGCAAACCGGCGGCTTCATAGCTGCATCCATGTTAGCACGTCACGTTTGATGTGGTAATTTCACAGTAGGCATCCACACAGGTTCGAAGACTCGTTCTCGCCCCCTGCGGTGCAATTCGGCTAGGTATACA